GTCATGTCGCATCAGTCTCGGCAGGTGATGGTTTGAGGGTTTTATCCTTGTATATCCCTACAACAACCCTCTAAGGCAGAGGGAGGGATTTCCGAAGGGGCGGCTGGCTATAGGGTTGGGTTAAGGGTTCAGGTTTCAGAGCCGAGGTTGTTGTAGATTCCCAGACATGTTAGAAACCTTCATACAAGGATCTCTAGGAAAAAGGCCTTAATCTTGGACCAGACCCTAAACTACCCTAAATCCTAAAATCCTGGAACCTTCAAGACAGGTCCGACAATTCAACACATCTGGGAGCTCATAGGCCCGAAGGGATATTTTTAAGGGACCTTTCGTCTTGCAGAGATGACAAAGGGATTCTGAGAGGTCCCCAAGCTGGATTACTTGAATCTACCATGTAGCTGACACAGCGTTTGCCACTCGTTACATGGACCGGCCCACTGCATCCCGAAATCCCCAGCTTAAAGTCTGCAGATCTTGCTCATCGTGTTAGTGGTGTCAAAGGCCAGTGAAATTTCAGGGTTTAGGGGTTTGGGGGTTTAGGGTTAAGGTGTGTTGCCTGCTTCTTCGCAGAGAGGACAGGGCACTGCAGGAACGCATCCCTGTCTGGCTCGGTTGCATTTTCAAGGACCTCAGATATGTACAGTGTCTGCCAGGTGAAAAGACAGCGCTCCGTCATTCCACCGTCATCGTCTTAGGGGTTACTGTTTTTAATCGCCGCTTGAGACTGTTGTGATCAGGACCTTACCTGTACAAAGGGTAGCCTTGTTGGACATGTCCCAAGCACTGGACGCCGAAACTGATGTTACCCAAAAACCCTCAACCTTCTTTATAGTAAGCCTCCTAACCGTTTTGTAATGTCTATCTCAGCTGGCAGTCCATGCTGAGCTTGGCAGTCCTCCTTGAGGTCTTACGTTTCAAGAGTTTTGGGTTTAGGGGTTCAGGGGTTTAGGGTTGAGGGTTTAGGGTTTAAGACACGGCGAAGCTAGACCTGCTAAGTACCAAAACAGCAGCTATTACTCTGCAACAATGACTGCACAGGCGATTCTAAAATGGATTTGGGAATACTTGGAGGGTCAGGGGGACTTAGGTAAGCAGGTTAATAACCCCTATAACCCACATAGTAACCCTAGTTATCCCCATTGTTAACCTAGTTACTAAGTCTCAATGGCCCTCCAAGTAACAGCCTACCCCTACAATACTTGAAATATACGCAGATCCTAAACCTCAAACCCTAAAACGGACGGGTATTCGGGAGTAACAAGTGTTACCCTGACAGGTTTAGGGTTTAGGGTTCAGGGAATTTGGAAGGCTGTTTGGTAGGTCTAGGAAGACCTGATGAAGACATCCACCTGAAAGACTCCCTGAAGCATTGTCTTTTCCTCAAGTTTAGGGTTTAGGGTTTGCCAAGATACCATGTACCTCTGAACTCCCAATCGCTTGAGTTCTCGCACATGAGCTACTGTCTAACCTCCTTTAAACGGGCTTATCTAGGGACTATATAGGGGAGTATTATTAGAAGTGATTGGGGGGGATTCGAGGAGTTTAGTCTATAGCCCACTATTATGGAGGAGAGCCGTATCGCCTCCTTTTCACGGGTTCATGATTGGCGTTTGTCCCAGCAGTGGGTCAACGGTCCAGGGTATGGGACCTCTTAATCAATTTTTTTGGTTTTGCAATCTTGGAGCCTCCTTGCCGAGAGTGGTTGAAAACCTCCCTTGAATGGTTGTCAAAATTGGCACCCTTCTCTCAGGGTGCCTTTTCATATGAGGAGTTGTATTACAACTGGACCCAGGGGGGGCCATAAACCCTAAACCCTAAACACCATTTATGAAGCTGCCCAACCTCAAACCCTAAAACTTTCTGAGGGGAAGTCAGGCTTGAACCCTGAAACCCAAACTCTGAACCCTGACCCCTAAGCCTTAAACCCTGACCCGAAACCCTACCTAAACCCTAAAATCCAAAACTTGGGCAGTGTATGGTCATCAATTCTTTTGTGATGAGTTTTATGCCCAGGAAATCTCTTTGTTTCTTTAGTGCCTGTTGGAAGTTTCCCCATGTATGCCCCTGAAACCCGAAACCCCAAAAGAAAAGGGACCCCAAAATCGACCAGGAATCCGTAAGCTACCCTTCGGGTTTAGGGTTTAGGGTTTACCCAAGGGGGCGAGACTCGTCGCATTTTGTTCAAAGGTTCTGGATGTTCGTTGAGTTTGTTTTCCTTCCTGCCTTCAAGACCATGCCTCTGAATGGGGCCTACCCTAAACCCTAAACCATAAATCCAAAATCCTAAACCATCAATTCAAAACCTTAAGCCCTAGATCCTGAACCCCAACCCCTACATCCTAAACCCTAAGCCCCAAACCCTAAATCCTGTTACAGCTTCTGCTTTGCTCCAGTACCAGGACTCGAACTTAGGGATGCTCCGCCAAGCCACCCGCAGCCCTCAGCTCGAAGCCCCAGACCTTACATGCTGAATCCACAACCCCACAAACCCTAAACCCAAACCCCTAAACCCTTAAACCTTAAGCCCTAAAATTTAAACCCTAACCCCTTAACCCCTAAACCCAAAGCCTTTGAGGGGTCCCTGGAACCCATTTACTAAGTCTCCTAGAGCCTAACCCTGCAATCCTAAATCTGGCTGCTCAGGGCGGCAAAAGGGGCAAGTGATTTGAAAATTGAAGTTCGAGTTGTTTCAAATGATAGGGACTTATTATGGGTGTAGGCTTTAGGGTTTAGGGTGTAGTATAGGGGAGTATTACAGGGGTTACTAAGGGAGTACTGGATGTTTACATTAAAAAATGAAGCCACGATGCGGTTGAGAGAGAGATAGAGATAGATAGACGGAGAAAGAGAGAGAGAGAGAGAGAGAGACAGAGAGAGAGAGAGATGGATGGAGAGATGTTGTCTAGGGGATATAGGGGTTTATTCAAGGATAATGGAAAAGAACCTGAACATTTTTATCTAGGGTTTGGCATTTAGGGTTTTTAGGATATTACCCCGAAAGTGGAAAATTACATGGAAAAGACTAAAGAACATGGAAGAGGAATGGATGTTGGGATTACATTGGGGTTTACAGGGTGGATACTAAAAATTCTGCAAGACCCTAAGTACCTTTCACCGTGGCAATTACAGTGCCAGATCTCTTAATTTGTAGTCGGAGTTATATTAGCCCCTGTCATAAGACCCCTGTCACCCCAGTTGCTGCGAGGGGAAAGATAGGTTAGAAGGATGGGCCCTTAACATGGGTTCTTAGGCCTTTTAGGGGGATTCCAGGAATTTCAAGGGTACATATAGGGTGTATAGTAAGCATATAAGGATCCCAGCGTTAGGGGCCCATACTGTTGGCCCATAATTTCAACCTTAAAAATGCCCGATCTACACCCCAAACTGTGTCGCCCTAAACCCTAAACCCCGTTGTTTGAGAACCCCTCGGGTCCAACACCGTAAGCCTGTTTCAAGAAGCCCTGAGAAGAAGTCTTTGTGGCTTCAAGCCCTGAAGCCACATCCCAAGGCCTAAGCCCCAGAACCTGGAACCCTGAATCCTGCATCCTACATCCTTAATCCTAAAGACTTGTTTTTCATCCCAACGAACCCTCAACCTCAACTCCTAAGCCCTAAGCGCCAAGGTTGACGGGAGAGGGTTTAGGGTATAGGGTGTAGGGTAAAGTGTTCAGGGTGTAGGGTGTAGGGTTGAGGGTCCAGAGTAAGTCCTAAATCCTGGCAGCCCGCGGTGCCATGGCGCTGGCGGACGGTCTGTGTTGCCTCCATGAGTGCGGGGCCCAGGGATGTTTGTGAGGTATACGGTTGCAAGGTTTCGTTAGGGTTTTGAGTTAAGGGTTTAGGGTCAGGGGACTGAGTAATTGGGTTTATACGGGCGAGAACCGGGGTTCTTATGTGACTCGTAGAGATTCTCAACCTACCTACTAAGTCCTCCTGACCTAAAACCATAAACCTAATTATATAATGCAGAAGCTTCCATTTTCTTTTCCATTATTAACCCGCTTACTAAGTCTGCCTGTCCATCCAAGTAGGGTTTGGAGTTGCGGAGCAAGTGTAGAGTATGGGATCTTCAGCATGTGTTGAACTCCAAAACCCTGAACCCTCCAAGAATCAAAGCTCCTAAGCCCGAGGCTGGGGAACTGCCATGTGGCTTGGTATAATCTTAGCGAGGGAAATTCTCAAGCAGAAATGACTCTTCCTTATGGTTATAGCTACAGATAGGCTCCCGACGCACCTACCCAGTCGTTATAACAAGTTACCCCACCTTGCCGGTTGAGGGCTCTCATTGGGGAAGTAAAGCCATTTCCGTAAAGGACCTGTCGATGTAATATTAGGGCTTATATAGGGCTTATACAGGGACAAGGGAAAAGAAAATGGAAGCTGCTATACTATAATGGGTTATACAGGGTAGAAATGGGCACGAAACCAAAACCCTGTTACTTCAGGCGCCAGGATTTTGGGTCGGAGCTGAGGCTTGACGCGGATGAGCTGTTTTATCTACACCCTGCTCAGGGTGTAGCACTGATGGTTTCATTATCATGGGTCCCCCTACTAACTCCTCCCGATGCTGAACTATCCCTACCTAAAGCGTGCCTAAGGGGGATCTATCTCGGGGGGTGATTGTAAACTGGGTTGCTGTTCAGGAACTCAAAGCAAGTTACTATAATATGGAAGCCCTATTATTTACTATATACCCAGAATAAGGTAACTTAATTAAAGTTCCTTAACAGCAACCCAGTAAAGGGGGATAGTAGGGAACCCAGGAAATTCAGTTGTGGGTGTGCGATGCTATGATGAACTGCCCAGCCCTCACGGAAAGCGGGCAGTCCACTTCCTCAGGTGCAGCATTTGTTCCTTGCGCCCCGTAGCAGCTCATCTGACTGATTTGGATTCAGCATGTCTTTTGTGAGGACGAGATGCGTGGCAACTTTCCGCATGCAGATCGCACACTGGCTCAAACCAACTTGCGAGTCAAGGTGTGTAACTACAACTACGGCATGGCCATGGATCAGCCACTCCTTGGGGACAGCTCCGCAGGCAGCAACAGCCCCTCGGCTACCTCCGAGGGCTCCGGTATGTCGTTCACCTTCGTCGGTGATCCACAGATTCCCAAGCTCCTGGAGAAGATTGAGGGATATGTGAAAGATGGGTTCCAGGACACGCGAGTCCTTGAAGACCAGCCGGACTTCATTCGCAATGTGCTTAAGATGGTTTTTCAGCTCATCCTAACACACAGCTGTTTGGTCTTAGGGCCTGCAGGCACAGGCAAGACCACTCTTGTGAAGGCGTTGGGTGGCGGAGATTTTCAGGCTGCAGTGCAGCCTGGCCCTCACCTGAGGCAGGGACGCTGGAAGAAGGTCGGTTAGGGCTTCGGCTTTACAATATAGGGTTTAGGATTTAGGGCTTGCATTTTGCAGCTTTTGTAGGCAGGCAGAGGTTTCATTCTTGCCAGTGGTTCCACATGCCCTAGGCCATAGGCACGCCTGAGCCTTAAATGGTCATTTCAAATCCCTGAACTACCAACTCCAAACCCTGCACTATCAACCTTGAATCCCTAGATGCCTAAACCCCCCAAAGCTCCAAGCCATGTGTCAGGAACAGGACCTTAGAGGCCCAAGCCTGCAAGATCGATGTCCAGGAGCTCTCAGACGAGCTCAGGTGGGGCTTAGGGTTGAAGGTTTAGGGTTAGGTTTGGGGCTTTTGTGTCGAGGGTTTAGGGCCAGGTGGCAGTAATCATTGCCTTCAATTTTACGACGATAATTAGATATCCTCATCGTGGTATATTATTGGTTTAATTTTAGGGCTGTGGTGGGGTTTTGATATAAGGGGGAGGGGACTCCCTTGAAATGATGCTGCTGGGATAGAGTATCTTGCAATAAGGATATGGTAGTTTCCCAAAACAAGGGGACCCCAATAAACACCCCAAACCATCATAATCCTTATTATGGGGACCCTAAAAAAGTACCCCTAATTTTGGGAAACCCCCCTTTTAACCTTACCTGGTTCAACTGCTCTTATCAAAACAAAGCACTACCGAGGTTGGACCTCATTGACACCCCTGGCTGGTGCCCCGACCTGAATACAGACATCCATGCGGAGTACAAGAAGGTTTTGAGAGAGAAAGGGTTGCCAAAAGAGCATGCTCCTCACATCATTCTCTTCTGTGTTTCGGTGTCTATGCTTCGCCAGTTCCAGGAGGGCAAGGCCAAGCAAATGAGCAAGCAATTGCAGAAGCTGAAGTTTGACCAGCGCTTTCCGATCAGAGTTCTACCAGTTGCAACGAAGGCAGACACTGAAAGCCTCGGTGCCCTGGAAGAACTTACGGCCGTGATCAAGGAACTTGCAGAGATGGCCTTCAAGGACACTGGGGCAATCATCGACGAGCCGGAGTGGACAATGTTCGACCCCAATCGACAAGAGCGAGTCAGAGGACCAAGGGAAGTGAGTCAGTGGATCAAGACGACTTTGCTTGGGCAGCTGCGCTCTGACGAGTTTACAGGGCTTTGGCGTTTGGCCCTGGCAAAGAGTGTCAAGGAGCACACCAGAGAACACTGTGAACGACAACCAGCAAATGATTCGGCACTCCGCTTGTTCCACAGAGCGTGCTCTACAGTGGCGGCTGCTTGCGACAGAGGTGGGCCATTTTCAAAAAGTCGGGGCAATCTTGAAATACAAATTGTAGTGCTTTACATAGTGTTTGCAGATACCAGCGTGCGGTGGATGGAAGACATCCTATACCATCCCACATACCTCCTGCAATAGGAATCGCAGTAGTTTCGGTCTGCCAACTGGCACAAAACGTCTTACAACAGCAGTACAGTGGATGGAGGAAATCTAGCACCACCTCATAAACCCTACGCCCTAGTAATTATGATGATTGAAGTTTCAGGGGTCTTCCGTGGTGCAAGGACTCCAATTTTGGAATCTTGCCAGGTGCAGACCTAGAGGCCTGCAAAGAAGTCATGGTCTTGCCAGAAGAGTTGCCCTGGTGGGTCATTCAAAACATCCCGACCTCTCAAGAAGAGCTGCTGGCTTGTTGTTAAAGAACTTGAACCTAGTTTCGGGGCTTAGAACTTGGGGCTTAGGGTTTTTATCTATATATATATATACATATGTATATAGATAGCACTAAATAGTATGGTTGCAGCGGCTTGAGTGAGCTCCTATACAGCAACCCAGGCAGTGGCAGCTTCCTACACATGCTGCATGCTGGCTCAGCTTTCGCCAGTGGATGCGTTCTTGGACTTGTGTGGCTCTCTTAACGGGCGTTCTCGTACTTCTCATTGCGTCCCTCATGTGGTTTACGGTGCGCTTGGATGCAGTGACCACCGCAAACTTGCATGCAAAGGAGCACTTGAACCAGACGTTTGCTAAATACAACCGGCAGAAGGACCAGTTGGACCAGATGACCGCCAACTATGCCCAGGAGAAGGACCTGATGAAGCAGATGACCGGTAAATACGCCCAGGAAAAGGATCAGTTGGACCAGATGGCCGGCAAATACGCCCAGGAGAAGGACCAGTTGAAGCAGATGACCGCCAAATATGCTCAGCAGAAGAACCAGTTGAGCCAGATGACCGGCAAATACACCCAGGAGAAGGCCAAATACGACCAGAAGAAAGTCGTGTTGGAGCAGCTGAAGGAGCAGTTGAATCTCTGCAAAGGTTGGCCTGCCCAAGGAGCTCAGTGCATGGGTCTACTTGCCATAGATGCCTCGAGCGCTGATGCTTGCCAACAGGTTTGCTGCAGGATGGGCAAAGAGTACTGCAACACGTGGCAGTATCGAGAAAGTCACGGCTGCTGGTTGGGAAAATCCTCGTCTTCATCTTGCGATGGTGACGATGGCTGGGTTGGGGGCCAGGCTGACTGATGGAATGTAGAAGCCTGAAGAATTCCCAACATTACTCCTTAACAATCACATATGGAAGAATGTCTGCAAAACCTCTATTCTGGCTTTTATGCCCCTTACATGAGGCCTGTTGTCAGGTGGCCTTCGGCCACGTTTAGGCGCATGCGCTCTGCACAAGCCAGGGTGCTGATTCTAGATCGATTCACCTCAGATCAAGTGAGATATGGTCTAAACTCCTTAAGGGAGCATATTAAATGGGGGGTTATTGAGGGGTCCCATTCTAAAGCTTATGAAGGGGAATACTCGGAGTTTAGACTATAGCTCAAGTTGGCAGATCTTTGGTCTGATGACTTCCCTATTCGCCAGCATGTTAAGATCTGATGCATGTTATGAGCTAGGCAACAATGCCAGGGTTGTTGGGCTTCTGCAGATGACCTTTGAGAGATCCCAGAAGCAAGGCAATCATGTTTTCTATGCTGGAGGGCAAACGGGGCTCTCAAGATCAGTGATCAGAGGGCCCCACGCAGTTCAAAATCGCATTGCAGGAAGAAGCCGTTCGCGCAGGGGATTCACAAGTCCCGAAACTTTGCGCGTTCAGTGTACAGAGCTTTGTATGTGGCGTCGGCAAACTTGGCTTGGGTGCTGCTGCCATATTAACCCCAAGTCTCAAACCCAAAGCTCCAAACACTAAACCATACACGGCCGCAAAACTCCAAACCTGCATTCAAAAACCCTAAATCCCAAACCCTACATCCTGAACCCTAAGCCCCAAACCCTAAACCCTGAACCCCAATCTCTAAACCCTAAGCCCCGAAACCTAAATCCTGATCCCCAAACCCAAGTTTTCAACCTAAGCCTCAAACCCTAAAGCTTGAACCCTGCCCCCTAAAACCCTAAATCCTAAACTTGTTTTCTGGTTAGAAAATCACCTAATCCCTAAATCCTAAACCCAGAAGCATTGGTTGCAGCACCCAAGATGTGACTCTGGGCATCCCAATCCTTGGGACCTGCGGTGCAGTCGTTTCAGGTCCCAGATGGAGGTTGCCTTTCGGGGTCCAGAAAGAGGATGGGTTTAGCGTGTAAAGTTTAGGGTCTCGGGGTTCAGAAGGAGGATGGGATTTAGGGTTTAGGGTTTAGGGATTCAGAATGAGGATCAGAGAGTTGTTTGAGGTGGAAAATGGCAAGCCTACAAAAATACCTACGCATTGCAGAGCTTTCGGAGAGCGCAAAAAGGTAGCTGCTCCCAGAAGCCACTGATTGAGGTAGCTTTATTTCAGGGTGTAGTTTTTGGGATTTCAGGTTTAAGTTTTTAGGGTTTTGGGGTTTAGGTTGTTGGAAAGGAACAGGTGTGCTTGTGAGGGTAAGATGCCCTAAACCCTAAGCCCCAAACCATAGGGCAGGGGAATCTATTGCCGCTTCATGTCTCCAGTCTTTCACATGAGCCATGGCATAAATTCCTGAAAGTGGGGTTACACGGGGGGTCATGTAGGGTTTAGGGTTTAGGGTGTAGGGTCTAAACTCCTTAAAGGGGGATTATTGAGGGGATTACAGAGGGGAGTATTAGAGGGGTTATTGAGGGAGGGATATTCAGAGTGTGGACAATGGCTCACCAGGAACGCATCAACAAAAATATCAACAGTTGTGACAATGCTACCATGGAAAATCATATAAACCCAGCCAACCTTCCTCAATCCCATCATGCCTGACCAGGGGGCATGGGCAGGCTAGAAACCTGCGGAAGGAGAATTTGCCCCCTAATGATGCTTTTGATGTTGGCCAATGGGACCAGCATCATCATCAAAATTATTGAGGGTCAATTTCTCCATTTCTGCTTTCCTCTGTACCCAGTGGCCTGTCATTGAGTCTACAGACTTTGCAGCCCTCGCCCGCCTTGGGGCTAGTCTTCGAAAACGTCCGTGCTCATGATTTTTTTTCTGGGGTCCTGTAGCGTGGGGGAAGTTCCCGTAATGCATGTGAATTTCAGCTTGATTTTGCCGTGGGGTCTGGGAGGGGCCCTTGCAGAAATGTAGGGCCGGATTAAGGGGCTGACATCCGGGGCGGGTAACATTGGAAAAACGCTGATGATCCTGGCCGCCTCGGCCAGCATCATAAGCATTATTGCGGGTCCATTTCTCCTTTTTGGGGTCCCGAAAACCCATTGAAATCTACTCCGGCCCAAGACTGGCCTTGAGGCCAATGTTTAGAAAAAGGTCCGTGCTCATGATGCCCAGAAATCTTTCAAAAATTCCCCCGCGCACTTTGGAAGATGCAGCCCTGGATCCCGGGTGAGCTATTTGGGGCAAAAGGTTTGGGCAGATCTGCCGCGGAAGATCTTTGCCTGTCATCTGTTCGCCCGGCGTAGCTATGTATTTTCATGGATGCCGCTATCTGCAACACGATCCGAAGGGGCACCGACATGACAAGCAAGTAGATCCTTAAAGCTGCTCTCTGCCCTCGGCAGAGGCGGATTTCTCAGAATTGCAGATTCCTTCTCTGCATACGTGCTTTCCTCTTCTTCGGGTGTGCGGATAAAGGTAGGCGCCATCCATGCGAACCAGAACTGCCCAAGATGATACTGCGAGGCCGGTACGTAGTGTTCAGTGATGTATGGTTTTGTTGAGGTGCATGGAAGCCTCCAGCGATGTGAACCTCCAGACTTTAATCCTTGAGGAGACTCCGTCAAACATGCAAAACCCAAGAAACGGCTACATTCTTGTAGTAGCAGCATTTCCGACCTAAGTTTCAATATAGTTTGCGAAAATAAATGGTCTGTAAGAGCTTTGCAGCCTTTCGGGTGGCAGCCTCAACTTACTGGTGATTAGTATGCAGAGAGTTGAAGAATTCGAATCTAGCGATTATGGTTAACAGTTCTATAGGAACTACACGTTTCCTTTCCTGAGCATCAGCAAGTCAAAGCAGGTTCGGACGTTGGCGCGAGAACGGTGAGCCGCAGCCTCGGCTGTGTGTGGTCCCAAGGATTCCGCAACTCTTGAAGCAGTTCTGGGTTTTTGGGTTGCTGTTCAGGAATTTGATCAAAGTTATTATATTGAGGAAACCAGAATACTTACTATACTTATACATATATATATATATTTATTTATGCCCATTATGGTGACCCTAAACCATATATACCCCGTATACCCTACATACCCTACATATCCTATACACCCATATACCCTGCATACCTTATATACCTTATATATACATCCATTATGGTAACTTAAAAATTTAAGTTCCTCAACGGCAACCCAGTTTTTGGGGAACCCTTCCCCCAACAAACCAGGAAGCCCAAGTTGGGCCCTTTAGAACACGACTAATGTAGGGGCCTTTGCCAATTACCAATATTGCTAGGGTTTAGGGTTTAGGGTTTAGGGATGATTACCAATATCATGGTTTCCATATTCCTAGTATATGGCAATTCAAATGGACCTCAAAATGATATCGGCAATTCTTTATAGTATATTCATAGGGCCCCTTGTCAGGTCCCATGTTAGTTTGGTGGAGGGTACAGGGCTCGGGATTTTAGAGCTCAGGGCTTGGGGGGTATGTAGAAGCTGTGTAGGGCTATTTCTGTCTGCGTTGAACTGACGTTGCGACGGCATCCTGACGCAATTTAGGGAATCCTCCTGTTTTGGCCAACTTGAAGATGAGCAAAGAAAACAATAACATCCATGATCGCTGAAAAATCTGAACTTGCAAAAAGGTCAGTTCCACTTGACTGGTCTGGGCAGGGCATGGGGCTCAAGCCGAAGCTCAAGCCGCTGGTGAACCAGCAGTCCATCCGAGAAATCCAACATTTTCGTATCAATTTCTGCAGCCATGGGCTGTGGGTGGCCTGGGCCTGCTCTGCTGCTTCTCGTGGCAGTGGCACATCCTGCGGGCGGCGTGCGGCCAGAGGCTCTGAGGCTTCAGGCGGAGCTGGCGGCGGCGAGCGCGCCAGTGGTCCAGGAGGCCCTGGAGAAAAGAAGATTTGAGGTCTTGGGTTAAGGGTTCTGAGTTGAGGATTTAGGGTTGGAGAGCGTAAGCTTGAGGGTTTGGGTTTATAGGGGCTCTCTCCTCAACGGGAATCAAGAGCCGTAACCCCGACTCCTCGCTCTTCGGAGGGAGGGAGGAAAATTGTTTCATGTGGTGCTTCCTATGAGTTATCTACTTGTTTGCGCTAGGTCCCAAAGCCCTCATGCCGTATGATGCCTAGAGCAGCAACTCATTGTTTGTACTTTTTTTGTAGTGTGCGCGCCGCAACCACTGCTCTTGCTCTTCGACCTGCAATTCTGAAAAACCCTAAACTCTTTATCTTTAACCCCTTAAAACCCCCAAAACCTGAACCCTAAAACCATCAGAGCCCTTAAGCCCCATCCGTCCCCGCGAGGAGGCTTGCGAGGAGCGCGTCTGCCAGCAAGACTCTCGGCCATGTCAACCAGCCCTCCTCAAGGGTGCTGAGGTGTTGAATGCTCAAATCCTTAACCCCGAAATAATCAAACCCCTAAACCCTCCAAGCCGTAGTCTGATGGAACCTCTCCAGCCCTAAACTTTAGATTCAGGTTTGGGGTTTTGGGTGTCAGAAGCTTATCCCAGGTCCAAGGGTCTGAGGCGAGACAGTCTGGTGTTAAGGAATGGCTTGGGGCTTAAAGGTTTGATGAAGGCCTGGATCCTGCCTCAAACCAATCAAGGACACCGCTTCGCAGTTCGAGATGAAGGCGCCTGTGGGCTTGCGCCTACTCCCAGACAGCCACTACCATGCGAGGCCATTTTTTATGGGTATGGGGTTTAGGGGTTAGGGGATTACTGGGTTGAGGGTTTTAGCGTTCAGGGCCGAAGGGGTCAAGGCTGTGGGGTTCTAGTGGTTGTGGAGGGGTCCTAGGTAAGGCATTTAGAGGGAGATCTGATGATCGAAGAACCTTCTGCTAGGCTGGGTAACGACGCCCAATGCGACATCACCGGCTCCTCGACAGGTGTGGTCAAGGCAGTGGCTGCTCCATTCGAAAGGCATATGACAAACCTCACTCCCCGAGCCCAAATGATGAGAGAATCTCTACATAGTCCCTAAGTCGGCCCTAAGTAGGTACTCCTGACATACCCCTTGTTCTTGCAAAGCCCGTTTCTGATGCTTACGAAGTGCACGGAGGCGCACGTTACGCCCTGGGTTGATGCGTGGGACCCGGTGGGGAACTCCAGCATCTTTGTCTTCCTCGATCCCGTGGAGGCCGGTAGCTTCCACAACTAAAATCATAGCAGCGTAAGCAGCACGGATCCACAGGGTACTCCCATGCAAGGACCCGTGAGTCACTTGAGGGACCTCGCCTTTGTCAGAGACCCCTGTTGACCTCTAAGCCTCAACCCCCTAAACCATTCAAGCAAAATCCCCAACCGCTAATCCCTAAATCCCTAAAATGTAAACCCCGAACCTTGCATCCCAAAACCTAAACCCCCGACCCTGAGCCCTAAACCCTCATCAGGTGGCGCGGCACCAGCCGCAGCACTCCCGCTCCGGCGTCGTCTGCGGGGGAACGGCCGGCTTGGCGAAGGCCCAGTGCCTCTGCAAGCTCCAGTTTAAGAGCCGCCCGAGGACTCGCTGGCTGGGTTTGATTTTTGATAAGGAACGAACAGTGTTAAGGGTGTAGGATTCAGGGTTTAGGATTTAGGGTGTAGAATTTTGGGTGCAAGGTCTTGTGTTGTGGTCCAGTGGCAGGGCTTCGGACAGAGTTTAGGATAGATGCTCAAATCTTTTCTTTGGTATAGGGTGGCGAATATGGGCTACGGCTGCCGTTGCTGGTGCCGAGAACTTTTTTGCTGGCTATTCTGATTTCCTTCTTTTCTGGCGCAGCAGCAGTCAGTATGGGCCACGTCTGCCATCGCGTGCGCTGTAACTTTTTGTGCTCGTTACTAGGGTTCCCTAAGCCCTACACCTGAGCATCTTAACCTTAGACACCTTAACGTAGTTTCCATTTGATTGTCCCATCATCCCTACATACCCCAAGAGCAGTCTTTTCCTACTCGGCAGAAGTCAGCCGAGAGCTGTCCCCAGGAGCCTGCTGGAGCTGCTGCGGCGGCCCCTGGCAGCCGTGGGTTTGGACGCGGCCCGGCGTTTGGACGTCAAGCTGCTGAATGCCCAGGAGGGCCGCAGGGTTTTCGAACGTAAAAGGAGTGGGAATCTCACATCTTTAGAAGCTTCAATGCCATGACGAGAAGAAGGCATCTTAGGTCCATGTTTTTCTACAGCCCGAAACCTTCAATCCTGAAACCCAGAATGCTACGCATGCGCAGGAGGCCTGTGAGGGATTCGCCGATGTGCTGGTAGTCTTTGCCCTTGTTTTTGCGCTGCTCCTCGCTGGCGGTCAGCAGGGAATGAAGGAATTGAGAACAGCGTACATAGGGTTTCCGGGAATAGAAAAGAAAAGTGCAGCTACCACAGCATGCAGTGACTGTAGCGTTTCGGGTTCAGGGTTGGTGGTGAAAGATGGAATGGAGTGCAAGGTTTTCTTTATTGGCATTTCTATGGGGACAGTACTAGAAGGATCCATTTGTCGAGTCCTTGCGGACCACCGGTGAGGCTCCTCCTTTACCTCCTCATCCACATGGGCTTCATTGTGGTGCGCATCGCGCGTCTACGGCTTGCGCAGTCAGAGGGGCTGCTTGGCGGAGGCCAGGCTTCTTTCTCCGTTCAAACCTCGTCCAGGGCTCCATGGTCCTTTTGTTAGGTTTCTGTGGGGGAAACATGACGCCCTAAACCTGAACTGCATGGTCTCCACACACAGTCCAGCGGGTGACAGGTGCCGAGGAAGCGGCCATCATCGTCCCGAGCCCCGAGGCCGACTTTGCGGCCGGCGCCATGCAGCTGGTGCGGCTCACGACGCCGCCCGGCCCGCAGTTGGCTTTCCTTTGCATATTGGCTCGCGATGCCTTCCACGTGTTTTGCATGTTTTCTCATCTTCACAATCGGACCTTGTTAGAGTGTGTGCTGCCTTGCTAGGCTGATGATGTCGCTCCAGTATACCATCTTGGAGAAGATTAAGAAGCAGGCGTGGCTACCCTTCATGGGCTTCGTGGTATTGTGGCCTTTGGCCTTTGGTGTCTTTGGCTTGTATCGCACCTCGGTCATTGTTGACAAGTGCTGAAACGTATGACCTTGTATATGATGCTTGTCTCATTGGGGGAGGGTTTCATTGTTAGATGATGAATCCTGAATTCGAAGCCCCACGTTGCAAATCCTAAGCCCCAACCCTTCACGGTTCAAAGCCTTAGATCTTCTACTTGAACCATAAGAAACCTCAACGCCAAAATCCAGGTCCTGCTCCAAACCTTAAGCACTATGCCATAAGCCCTACATGTTCCGTAACCCGTAATCCTAAACCCTGAACCCTAAGCTTCTGAATGCCCAGTCATGGACCCAAAAACCAGTAGCCTAGGGGTCCAGGATTCTGGCATCCATTCTTCTTAGATTTAGTATGAGGGATTTATATGAACCGCAATCAGCTTGAACAACTAGAAACCAGGATTTCAGGATTCTGGTTTCTGTTCTATCTAAAACTGCGAAAGCATTTAACCACCCTGCTTGGAGGGTCAGGGGGATTTAGCAATTAGGTTAATAACCTCCATAGGCCATGTAGTAACCCTAGTTATTCTCGTAATTACCTACTTACTAAGCCCCCCTGACCCTCCAAGTGAGCCTAAACCCTAAACCCTGAAAACCCTGAATCCTCAACTCTAAACCCTAGGTATCTTGCAGTCCCTTTGCCAGCGGCAGCTGGCCCATGCGGCCTTGGCGCAGGGCGTTTGCCTCACAGGCCCGGCGCGCCTGGACGCCTGCGACGGGCTCACGGCCCTCGGAATCTCGGTGAGTCTGAGGTGTTACAGTAGGATTCGGGACTTCGGGTTTGCTTACCGGGGATTTCAGATTCAGAGTTTAAAGCGTTGGGGGCCTTGGGTTCAGGGTTTCAGTACAGGATCAAAGGTTTGGGGTTGAGGACCATTACAAAAAAGGAAGACTGTTTTTTGAAACCTGGGTTTACCAAGCATTCTTCGAATGATTGGGCTGGAGTCTTTTCGTAATGGCAGAGCCGACTGTAATGATGATTCAAGAATCAAACAAATCCATATTATCCGCAGACAATCCCAGCCCAAAGCTGACAAACCCTGAACCTCCAAACCCTACACTGGGTTGCTGTTAAAGAACTTAAATTAAGTTACCATACTGGGTATAGATAGTAATTAATAGGGATTCCCCAATATAGTAACTAAAAGTCAGTTTCTTAACAGCAGCCCAGTAAAGCCTGAAGCGTAGGAATGGTGCTGCTTGCTGTCTGCGTGGTCTTTGGCCTGGCCAGCGAGGAGCTCTACGCTACCTGTGCCCTGGTTCTTGCCCTGCTGCCTGCCAGAACTCTGGTTTGGGGTTTGGGTTTAGGGCTTAGGATGCTCCTGCCGGTGTTGAAGTGCTTGAACTTGGGGCTTCACTGAAGCTAGTTTTGGGGTTCCTTCGCAATGGACTTGTCATGCAGAATCCCCTCATATCCTCTCATGTTGGGCTGCTGCAGGTTTCTCGGCCGAACCTTGAGCATCGTCGGGGAGCTCCAGAAGGCATGCTTGCTCAAGCGAAGCTTTCAGAAATTGTAGTCGTAGTTGCAGTATTACTTGAGCCAGAAAGAGTGCAGCAAATAGCAACCGCAGTCACAGTTGCATTCGTGCCTTTGTCGTTGATCGTGCCATTTAAGTGCCATCACTGCCACGTTCACCATTATCGCTATTCCTATCACTACCACGGCCTCGGCCACTACCAGTACCACTTCCACCGCCGCTACCACCCAACAGGAACCGATAAACGAGTCCCAACCAATGGCAATGGTGACCATTGGAGCTGTGCGTCCTATAGCTTTTTTTGCTTACAGCTTGGTCCCAAGGCAATCCAGGGGCACCTCCTAATCCCCAAACCCGGAGCCCTGAATCCTAAACCCTACATTTGGAACCCCAGAACCCAGGAAGCCCCAAAGCGTTCACTCAGTGCGAAGGCCCGCAGCGAGGACCGCTCCGTGGCCAACGTTGAGGCGTGTGCGGCCCCCGCAAAACCCTGATTCTGAATAGCCTAAAGCTTTGATACATTTTAAGCGGAGCCTTCAACCAGTCGCAAAACCCAAGCCGCGAAGCCATGAAAAATGCTAAACAATTAAATCTAGACCCATACCCAAAACCCACAAGCTGCAAAACATGCGAACTTTCCGAAGGCCGGCTGTCGGCTGCCGGGCCTCCTTCGCCTGCCTCTCGGCGATGAACGAAGGACAAAGGACAACAGCGGGACATCAGGGATCTGAGGGAGTGTTTCGAGAAATTCCGGAGCAAGGGTTGTTCAGATTTGGTAACAAGGCTTAGAATTCTATTGGGTCTGAAGGTTTTGTGGTTTTTGCGGTTCACGTTTGCATGATGTTCCTCTGATCCAAAGTTCGCGGCATGCCATACGGTGTGACGCTGTGTCAGCACTCCTCCTTTCTAAGTCACATCTTTTTTGGCTTCTAGCATTGAAAGCCTAAAATCCCCGTCAGTTTCTCTCCAAATCTTCGCAAAGCAGTCAGCTCCGTCCTAGTTCCGGGTTCCGCCGATTTGCTCTTAACTGAGGCCATATTGGCGGCAAAAGTACGAGGGCAAATTATGAGCAGCATCATGAAGACCTCAAAGGTGAGAGTAGCAACACTAAGTCCGTCACAAATTAGAAGGAGACCGAAGCGATACCAGTGATCTCAACTGTAAGCCTGAGCAAAGTGCCGCCAAGGTTGAGGCAGCTGTCGCAGAAGGCTTCCGGCAGCAAGCTCGGCGATGGCGCAGTGGCCGCGGACACGAAGACAGCGGTGCCGGTCTTGGAGGACAGCCTTACGCGAGCTGTGGAAATAAGATCCTCAAAGGCAGGTTTTGACGAGGTTCGGCTTTTTACAAATACGTCTTGGGGTAGGTTCGTTTCATAGTCTACGACGGTCCAGCAGAGTTGAGGAGAGTCTTGCTTGGGGACCTGTGCCTTGGGAGTCCTTGTCATAGCAGGAAACATCAATGGGTCATGGAACTCCGAAGTCCACGAAAAATCGTAGCAGCAACGGTAGCAAAACACCTCAAGTCCCCAAGCCCTTCGCCTTAAATCCTAAGACCCGTTACACCCCAAGCCCCAAACCATTCGCCCAAGCCCCAACAGTCCCCACTGCTCCGACGTCTCCCAACCACCCCACTTGGTCAGGAGAGCCTCGTCCGCGAGGATGTTCGGATGCTTTCCTTCAGCACGCTGGTCAAAGCAGGTCCGAACCTCAGGGTTTAGCAGCAAGCAAGGCAGGGACGGGAGCAGCCGCTTTGGGTTGTGGGAAGCAGAAGCTCAATCGGGCTTGCAGTTTATGTCTGACGATACACGGTTCCAGGTTGCGTGCTTGTCCCAAACTTTTTTGACATCTCCAGTCCCGCTGCAGCTCTCACTGCTAGTAATGCTAGGAATGCCTACCAGCTAACATCCTCGCTATTACTGAAGACCACTCTATTCTCCTCGTCTTAGTAGTGGCAGGTGTAGTGGATGGAGGCAATGTTGCAGCACTCTGCGTCCCCAAAGCGCGCAGCTCCTGGGGCATATAGTGCAAGATCTCCCGCATCCGCCGCCCAAATGCCCCAAATCCTAATCCCCAAACCCTAAAACCTGGACCGTAAAAACTTCAAAGCTCTCAATACCAAATCGCAGTGTTCAGGCCGGGCCTCGGAAGATGTGCTGCAAGCCCTCCGCGGGGAGCCGGCCGCAGGAAGCGACAGCGAGCTCCTTCCTCTGCAAGTTCTTTTGGAAACAAGAAGTCGTGCCAAACCCCAAGCCCCAAACTCCACGGATCCCCTCCAAAAATTTCAAACCCCAAGCTCTGAACTCTGATCCCTAAAAACTCCACGCCTGTCCCAGGTTCGGCCTCTTCCGAGATCTCGGCTGGCACGGCCCGGCGCTCTTCAAGATGACGCGCTCACATGTAGGCCGGTTTCGGGCAAGCTCAAGGAGTCCTAAGGCTTCAGGGCTTCAGGGGGTTCAGGAGTTCAGCGCTTCAAGGTCGGCGTTGGGGCGAGCTGAAAGGTTCTGTCCATGGGGTTTTAGGGGTGTAGCGGTTTAGGAGATCAGGGTTGCAAACTTCTCCGCATATGAGGTAGGATTGGGCTCTGTGCCACTGTATGTCGGGTGTCCTGCTTTTGCAGCGCCAGTAGCCATACTTGAAATGCCCCGCAGCTTGATAATTCTGCTTCTTGCCAGCATGGAAGATAACCAACCGACATGCACAAATGAAAGTCACGTAGCAATCCGCATTTCTTCATTCCTGGTGGTACCTTCTGAAGAGCAAGCCATTTTTTTAAAACCCTGAATCAAATCCCAAGCCCTCAGCCCGTAACAACAGCTAAAATCCAAAGCCATTAAGATTAGAAACCCCGGGCACAAGTGCCTCAGTGCCGCGCTCCCAATCACTGTGAACTAAAATTCTGAAGCCCGGAGCGTGAGAAATACCTCCAGCACTTTCATACTCAAGGTAGCAAAGTCGTAGTAGCCCTGCAGCCTGAACATGACCCTGAAAATCCGGCGAAAAGCCCCAGGCCCTGCATCTCTAAACCCACGATCCAGGCTTCCTTGCCCTGCCACTAGCGCTGCTGCTCCTCCTGGCCATGCTGGGCTCCGCCTTCTTTCAGGCAGGGTGATGGGGTGGGATGTTTTAGGGTTGAGACCCTAAACTCCTTAAAGGGTGGGATTGGGAGGGATGGCTGAGGAGATATAGGGGCCTGGAGATTGTTGGGTTGAGGTCCTGAGGTTTGTACATGCTTTGGTGTTTTCGGGTCTGTGGACTTGTTTGTCTGGGCGGGTCTGGGGTGGATGTTTTTGGGTTTCTTTTGCTTTCGAGTTTCGAGGAGGTTCTGGATGATCGAGTAGCGGCTCTTCCAGGCAAAGCAGGGGTGGGATTTGGGAGGGATAGGTCTGAGGGTTCCGGGGCCTGCGGGTCTGGGGTGGAGTTCTTGGGATCTTCTTTTGCTTTCGGATTTCGAGGAGGTTCTGGATGATGGAGTAGAGGCGTGGTACCAAGAGTCCTACGCACTTTGCCCTTAAGAGAAGAAGTATGTGAAGGAAGTCACATAGGCTAAGCAACAGCTGCACAAGGACAGTGACGAGCGTGCGACTTCCATGTGTATGTGCAGCCGCCCCTAGAACTCACACCCTTCTTGGCGGGTCAGGGGGATTGTGGAAGCAGGTCGACTATGAGGAGAACTGGGCTTATTGTATGGCCTATAGGGATTATACGCATGTTTGCGTTGCCCCCGACCCTCCAAGTTCTTGATACGACCAGCCTTACTACATGTGCGTAAGTTGCCTTGGCCATCTGCTGTACAGCACCCTTGCAGAGCAGCAGGTGACGGAAAGCCGTAGGCCTACTTTCTTGGCTTGGGCTCCAACCTTGCAGCGTCGCACGTCGGCTTTAAGGCCTCAAGGCCCGAAAGCTCCCAAAATCCCCAGTCGAGAGCCTCCAAAATCCTTGCCTGCAACCCTTGAGCCCAAACCCCAAATGCCAATCTTGACCCACTCTGATTCCATTTCATTCAAGATTCAAACTCCCCAAGACCCAAATACTGACGCCCAACACTCTCTCAATCCACCCCGAACCTCTCAATCCCCCTCCCCTCTCAACCCTCTTCCATCCTCCCCCATCCCTAAACCCTTCGTATGGCTCCTGGCGCTTGCCAGGCCTCGCGGTTTCTCTGCCAGCTCCCGGAGCTCTCTCAGCTGGACCGCTCACTTGAAAAGCTTGCTATCACGGGTAGGGATCTCTTCAAAAGGCTCTTATTCTGAGAACCCATTCCGTCTTCCTTATTGCTTCGCGGGGGGCCCTCACCACCCGGTGATTGCGGTAGATAGGAATGTAGATGGACCCCTCGTACCATTACCATGACCCCTAGCGGTCACCACCCATGATACTTTGATTGTCATGCGGATGATCGCTGTGATTTCTCTAGGTGTGCAAGTTGTACTTGTCATAGTTCTGACCGTCATTCCGGAGCTTACGCTTCTCCTCTTATGATGATGATTCAGATTGTGGTGGCGTTCCCTGCACATGTTGTTTGAGGGGGGGGGGGGCCATGCCGGAGCTGGCTTCCAGATCGCGAGTGAGGTAGATCGCCGGGGACCACTCAGCACGGAAGGCCTTCTAAGAACCTTACAATTCCTCCAAATTTTCCTTGAGGAGTCCTTTAATTCTGTTTGGGGCACTTGGGAAAGGTGTCTTGGACAGGCTTCAGTAGATTGATTCATCTACCCCCAGTACCAAGGCCACCGTCCCCTTTATCCTGATGGTTCTCATGATACTCTGGTGTTCATCATGCGCACCATCAACTTTCTTGTCCTTCTGCTCAGTGCAGCTGCCTTCGCAGCGGCCGATGCCGCTTCTGCACGAAAACAATCGTCATTGCTATTGCTTGTTCCAGCCAATCACTACCACTTCCTTGGTGGCTGCTACTGCTACTGCGAGGCGCAGGGGTGGTCACAGGTGGCCGAATTTATGTTATCCTCTGCAGCTACCTACAGGCCATCATGCACCAAATGGTTTGCCGCGAGGAGCTCTCCTACCCGGAAAACGGAATCGGCTTCCGGCCCTGGGTACATCGCTACGAGGTGGCGTGTGGGGATGTGGGTCCCTTTGTTGATGTCCCATCCTTTTGGAAAAGAGTGGTTTCGGCAGACTCCAAGGTCTCATAAGGACGATTCTGTTGGTATGCATCCTAGGGGGACAGACAGTGCTTGGCATTCATATTTGAGGGCACACGGTGGTGTGGGGTGGCAAGCTTGGGATGCGGGTTTGCTGCCGGCGGGTTTAGCCATTCTTCTTGAAAACCATCCTCACGATTGTTCTTCTTGTTGTTACCATTGTTACAGAAAATTACGCTCTAACGCACACTACGAGAGCAGCAGCTGCTGCTGCTGCGGCTGTGTTGTGGCCATTTGTATCGGTATCAGCTCCCCTGCTACTTCGAGCCACTCCCACAACCTAAAACTGAAAACCTCGCAGAGTGCAACAGGTGGGCTACGTAAAGCATTCAGCATCAGAAGCCCTATTCGACGCGCGCAGAGCCTGGGATATGCCGAGAGTTTGCCCTTGGGGAGCTTCTAAACATGCATGCCGACCCTTGGCACCCCGACCTCCCCGAAACCCTGTGCCATACCCTGAAACCCCACCTGCTCCACCCTTCCCCCAAGGTTGAGAAACGCCGTGCATCCTATGAAGAAGAAACACTGTGTAGTCATTAAAGCTTCATCCTCATGCTGCGCCCCAACACAAGCCTTTTTCACTTTGAACCTTGCACTCCAAACCTTCAATTCTGCATCCGAAGCCTCGAACCCTATGCGAGAAACCTGAGACCGCCTTCCCCACGTTTGGCGAAGGCGCGGCTGGATGCCAGCTTTGAGCGCGCCTTCCTGGTACCTGGGTGGATTTCGGGTTTATCGGGATTTGGGGTCTGCGGGGCTTCATGTGGGGGTGGGGGGTTTCTTGGGTCAAACGAGAGGTTTTGAGCACGAGTAAGTGCTGGTCCTCGTACATCATAATGTCTAGGCCCCTAAGGGAGTCCTGAGAGGTGTAAGCTCCGCTTCTTCCACGACCAGGCTGCGAAGCAGCCGTAAAGAAAGCCCGTAACGCTTTAGGCGTGTCTGCTGCAGACACTGTATCCAGCCACGCACCGTGCATGCCTCGTCACATAAGTCATGAAGGGTCCATGCTCTGATCTTGCACTTCAGCATGTGCACAGAGCTTTGAAGCTTCAGAATTTGCACCCTTTGTCAGCATTGCACCCTCTTGTCGGCGTTGTTGTGCTGCTGGTGTCGGTCGCCGTCGGACTTACCCGGTCCTTCAATTGTTGAATCAAAGCTTTTTCAGTAAGTAGCTTTGAGGCTTTGAGTGGAAGCTTTGGGGATCTCTGCAAGTTTCTGCTTTTCCTGTTTTGCTCAATGCTGTTCGGATGCTGACTGAAGGCGGCCGCGGCGGAGGAGGCTGACACAAAGTCACTGGAGCTTCGCAGCGCCTCCGAGCCCACGGCCTCCAACGCCAGCGCTGTCTTTGGCAACGTGCCGCTGCTGGGCCTGTCGCTGCCACGCGAGGCGTGGGTGTGGCAGCAAGGCCTCCAGGACAAAGTCGCCGAGTACGGTGTGGCCTTCACGCCGGTGACCACGCTGGCCAGCCAGATCACCATCCGCGTGCCGGCCAAAGGCATCGAGCGGCGCCTGTCATGGGCGGAGCTTCCAGGCGCGGAGGGTGCTGTGCGTGAGTATTCGGCTGCTTCTCGCAACGTTTGAGACAAGAATACTGAGATGAAAACAGCATGTTTCTTGGCGCAGCAATTTCCCCATCCTCCCCGGCAGACCTCCCGGCAGGCTCCGTGCTGAGTTTGGAGATGGCAAAGGACGACAGCCTCTCCCTGCATATTGTCCTCAGTGACTACGAGCTGGGCATCCCACAGCCCTGCGGCCAAAAAGGTTCTGCGCATGGAATCTTCACCGAGTTCTGCGTCTTTCCCAAAACCTGCGCCGCCAATGCCACAGAGCACGACGCGTGCTGCAAGAAGCAGTGCCAGCACGACCCGCATTGCCTGACCGCCAGTGCCGGCAGAGCCGGATGCTTCAGGGCCAGGAGCCCTGTGCATTGTGCCGAGTGGGGAATGAGCAGGGTTTGTACTGTATGTATGTTTTCTTCCAGGTTTTTTGTAGGAAGGAGAAAGAATGCAGGACAGGTGTTCTGCTGGGGGATGAAAAGAGAACGTGAGCACAAGAGTCGTAGGGCAGTGCTTAAAGCGCCTTCGTAGATGACGAGCTCCTGTTGGTTCATGTCCAACTTCGCGCATATCACGAAACCATCTTCCAAACAGGCCACAAGTACTGAGTCAAATCATGACCTCCCTTCATAGTGAAGAAGAGTTGGATTGGAGCCGCAGCTTCTTTTACAGGGTGCTTCTTATCTTGTTCATAGGCAAGGCAGTGCTGACAACGGCTTAGTAGAAATGTTGAAGATCTGCCTCGTCAAAAGGCCGCTAGAATTGCACTCTCCACAACCCCGAGCTCTCGGAGAAGGAGGCGGTGCCCTCGGCCAAGGATCGCATGTGGCTCAACAGGAGCATCCGAGGGCAAGTCTGCAACCTGCAGGGCCGCAAGCCCTGCGTGGAGGTGGGGAGAGAGCTTCCTAAACCGAAGGGTGTGCCTGTGCCGCTTTCGGGCTCTTTTTTTTGGCGCCCAAGTGTTGGTAAACTGCCAGGCGGAGGCCGACGCAGAGCACGTGCTCAAGTTCGACGGCATCTTTCCGGACTGGTCTTGAACCCCGGGCCTAACCCCCCCACACCCTGAACGTCCCTTCAAGCTGTAGCCCCGAAACTGTAGCCCCGAAGCGTTTGACACCCTAAACCTCAACCTCATATGCTTACCCTCCCACACCCTGAGGTTAAATCCCGCCAAGCCCACTCAACATCTTTGAAGGACTGGCAGGCCCGCGCTGAGTTGAAGGTTTCCTTGGCTTTGGCTGCAGGTGCGCAGCAGGTGGGCAGCATCGTACTTGAGCCCCAACCCCTTGAAAGGTAGGACCCGCGCCTAAGCTTGGGGGTTGGGCTGTTGAGGGCCCTCTCTATGGGCTTTGGTCTGGTACTTTGCCATGGCAGTTTGCTACTTGAGGTCTTGGGCTAAGGGTCTGGTACAGCTTTACTTAGGAAGGAGGAGGCACGTGGGAGAAGGTCCTTAGGCGTGCAATCGCAGCAATCTTGAGGTCTTTTCAGAGGCGGAGTCTTTGCAGCTGTCGCTGCAACCTCTAGAGATCTTCAATGTCCTCGTGAACGTCACCGGTGTGCCCCTCAATGCCAGCGAGGCAGGTGCCGATATCATGTTCCTCAACGCCACGGCCTCGGTCAACGAGGAGCATGAGGTGGAAGTGACCCTGGAGCAGTACGCCCCGTATCTGTTTGCAGAGCTGGCGCTGCATCTGTCGGTGCTCTTGCCAGACAGGGACTTCGTGAGTGACTGGAGCCTGACAGGAGCAGAGCCGTCTTCATCTGAAATGCTGCAGTTCCGGCAGTGCGCATCAAGTGAATTCCTGTCAGAACGTTTCGAGGTTTGCCGGAAGGCAGAGAACCGTACTGGCGGCTGGGCTTCCTCGGTCGTGCAGGTAGCAATGCCAGCCTGGGCACTTGAGGAAACGCACCTCACTTTCGGCGTAATCCCCCAGAAGCAAAGTGATTGGCAAGCATCCACAAAGAAGCATGCCATAAGGGTGTTGCTGAAAGGCGACGTTCCAAGCGTGGGTGCTTGGGCCATCTCACCTGCTTCGACGGGGCCGGAGCGATGCCGCTTTTTGGCAGAGGCTGGAGACTTGCAAGCAGCAGTCAATGTTCGCGACGAGGAGGGGACTCTGATAGCCCCAAAGGCTGACCTGCGCGCAGCAGTCCATTCGGGCGACGAGGAAGGTATTCTGACAGCCCCAATCGTTGAGGCAAATGACAAGGATGCCGCAAGGGCACAGAGGTATGCGATGAGCCGTGCAGCATGCGCTTACGTGCGCCGTGACTGCCCTGCAGTGCACACCCTGGCCTTTGGCTCATTGAATCTCACAGATATCATTCCAGGGATTTTTGAGGACGCCTTCCAGCAGAGCCAGTTGGAGGTGCCCGTGGATAGTGACATGGAGCAAGTTTCACAGCATGCAATCAAGAAAGCAGGCCCGGCTGTGTGGAGCTTTGCTAGATGCTTGGCCGCGGCTGCCCGCCTACCTCAATTGGCAGATGTCTGCGAAACTACTTGTGAACGGTTGCCCCTAGATGAGGCGGGAGATATTCCCGGCATCATGTGCTGCGAATTTTCCCCATCCCATTTGCCTTCGCCTCTCACGGCGGACGGGCTCGTTGCCATCCTGCACACCACGCCTGATGACACGGATGATTCGCTGGTCAAGGGCTATTGCGATGTACTTCGCAAGAATGCCAGTGAGGCAAAAGAGCAGGAGTTGGCGGAACTGCTCATTGCGGCCGCTATCAGCATGCAGAATCTGCAGGCGGTCAATCTGACGCTCCGGCACTGTGTGCCGAAGCTCACTTCCAAGCAAGGCAGGTTGCTGTGGAGCCTGCGGGAGATCCCTCTCAATCTCACAGGGCTGATTTGGGATGATTTCCCGCAGCACCTCAGCGCATTGCTGCAGGATGCTGTTGACAGGCGCTGCACAGAATGCTTGGCTTCTTGGGACTCATCGCTGCCAGGGCTGGGGACAGCTGATGTTCCCCACAGCAAAAACGTGTCGCTCCGTTTTGTGCATCAACAACGGGAGCACCGCTTGCTGTCAGAGATTGCTGGGAAGCCTGGCATTGTGCACGTAATCGTAGACCTGCAGGTCAGTTTCGGTGACTCTCCAGCCGCAGCCCAGTATGTGCAGGCTCTCTGCCAGCTCCTTCGGTCCAGCAGGCGATCTCTTGCTTCTTTGAAGATTGACTACTTAAGTTTTGAAGATGTGCGAGGCGCGAATGAGTTCGCTGCCAGCCTGCGGCGGCTCAGCAAACTCCAGTCGCTGACCCTTCGACATGTTTCAATGTCTGCAGCCGGCTTGGCCCAGCTGCTGCCAGCAGAAGCCAGTGCCCTGCCTGAGCTCAGAGCCCTTACCCTGTCAATGAAGACGTACGGAAATCGCCTACCGGCCTTGGCGCCATTCCTGGCCAGTCGAGCAGCACTCCGCTCGCTGGAGCTTTCACACTTCTTCTCGCCTGCGTCAGAAGCAGATCAGTTCGTGGCAACCCTGAAGCAGCTACGCCAACTGGAGTCCCTCAAGCTGACATCTGATGACATACTACCCGTCAGTACCGCCCTCCAACTTCTCGCCTCGCCAATGCCTCCAGCACATTTCCTTCACTCCAGTCCCTCGAGTTGGGTGTTTTAGTTGCTTTAGTTCCCGGCAGCAACGATGCAGCCAACCGCCAGGGCATAGCAGCATTGAGCCAGGCCTTGGCGGCCCTCTCGCCCTGTCCACTCCAAGTCCTGCGCATGTCCCCTTGTGGTTTTGCAGATGAGGACTTGCCGCGGCTTTTTGATGCCTTGGAACACTGCAGGAATTTGACTGGATTGAGTTTCTGTAGGGGCGATTGCGGCCCCATGAGCAACTCCAGCATTGCTGCCCTTCAGAAGAGGATGCCCCAGTGGCCGAAGGCTGCCTTTGTAGGTGTTGATATGGCTGGCAGCGGTTGTATGAGCCTCCATTCAGCAGTTGCCGACTCGGATGGCCAAAGCAGCCAGGCCATGCCCTGATGTGGACAAAAGGCTCACCATGCATCTGGCAGCATCAGGAGATGAGGACAGGGCTCCCTAATTTTGGGAGGTTCTCAGAATGTCACTTCATAATCTAACCTTAAATCGGGGGTTATAATCCACATATTCCTAATTGGGGTGCCCCCTTTTCAAGAAGCATCCAAATCACAGATGTGGTATTTCCCGAAATGAAGTCAAGGTCCCCATGTTTACCGCTCAAATGATAGAAGTCTCATTCGTGGATCATCCGAGTCAGAGATGTCCACGTGAGAAGCCTGTAGTCTTTGTATCCCGACCTCGTGCAAGTAGGGATGTCAGAAGCTGCGCCCAGCCTGACTGCCAGTTCCAGCCAGTTTTCTTGCAAGTGTGCTTTCTTGCGGCGCGGGAAACTTGCCATTTGCTGAAGCTTAGGATTGGAACGCGCTGGCGTCGATGAGGCCCTTGCCTCAAGTCAGTGTCTTTCAACATTCCCCAGGTTAGCAGTTGCTTTCAGAATTTCATTGCAGGGCAAATCGTGACGGCCTCATTTGAAGTCACTCCAAATGGTAGTTGATGTGTCCGAATATGGCCGTGATTCAGGGTTTGGGCTCGCGTACTTTCCGCAATGCATGAGTTCCTTTTGCAGGGACCCCCAACAAGGAACACAACATTTTGAGAAAGCACCCTCCCTCTGCTACTGAGGGGCCATATTCGGGTGGGGCAACCCCGGACTGGGCTGGCTATTGATTCCCTGATTTTTCATTGCGTATGGTTGCTGTTGCTGTGGAATGGGCAGGTCCTGAACATCATCCTCAGAAATAATTCTTCTTGTGCTCCATGCACCTCGAAGTCAACTCTTAGCAGGATTTCAAGAAAGGGACGAGTAATGAGGGCCACATGGATTCTTCGCCAGCTGGCATTCGGTTCTTCTTGCCCTGTCCTTCATGCTGGTTATAATCCCTGTAATTTGTTGATTAACGCAGGTCTTGATTCCCAGTTAGAGGCACGTTTTGCTTTCACAAACGATTTACCGGCATGTAAGCATGTCGCGTTAGGCCTCATGCAAGGGGAAATGTGTGTGCAGTACCAGTATTTCATTCATACACGTGCAGTACTAGTATTTCATTTATACACGTACGTCAAATTACGCACGTGTCCGACTTGATCCACGACCTTTTTACCCCCTTCGACAAAAGGACGGACCCTTATTTCAAGGTCCCTCATAGATTCGAACTTCTGACTTTGGGACTGATACGGTACCGTACATCTCTTTCACCCCACGCCTACGCATTTTTCATCTACAAGGCTCTCCAACGCTAAGCCGCAACAGCCTGCAGCCTAAACCTGCGCAGCAGTGCTGGCTTTGAGCCTTTGGGCCTTTTGGATGGCAGCCTCCACTTACCGGCGGTTGTTATGGAAGAAGACAGGGTTGCTGTTAAGGAATTTAAGTTAAGTTGCTATAATAAGGAAACACTATAATGCATTAGAATATGATAACTTCATTAAGTTCCTTAACAGCAACCTAAAAGAAGTCGAATCTATGGATTAGTATGAGGAGTTTGATACCGACTACATGAGCTATAGTCTAAACTCCTTAAAGGGCGTTGTATAGGGAACTATATCTGGGAGAATACCAGGGCTCATAAAGGGGGATACTAGGAGTTGAGACCGAGCTCACATGTTTACATTCCTGAGCACCAGTAAGTCGAAGCAGGTGCAGACCTTGGCGCGAGAGCAGTGAGCCCAAACCTCGGCTGTAACACCAATACTTCGTGCCGTGATCTAACCTCCTTAGGGGGGTTATATGGGTGATTATACAGGGGACTACTATAGGGTTTATTAAGGGGGATACTAGGAGTTTAGATTATAGCTCATATGAGTTATAGTCTAAACTCCTTACAGGACGTTCTATAGGGGACTATATTGAGCCATGGCATTACTATCGGTTTTGGTGAGTGTATGTAGGGTTCCTTAGAAATACTGGTGAGTTCATATGAACTACAGTCGACAGTCCTGGTATCCCCCTTCATCAACCCTAGAATGCTCCCCTATGTAATCCCCGATATAATCAGCCTTTAAGGTGTTGAGATTTTAGCTCATATGCGCTATTGTCAATACTACCCTTATTAAGGGACCCGTCATAGTGGACGGAGTGCCTCTTGTAGTGTGGTATAGTCCCTAATATCGTCGCCAATGAGGAAACCATGTCCATTAAATTATGCAGGAACTGCAGACTGTAGCTCATATGAGCTATAGCTGAAAATAACTAAAGGAGGCTATCTAGGACATTATATAGATTTTTTTTTGGTCGGGGTTATTCAGGGGCATTATTTCACTTGTTGTGGGCAAAGTCCCTATACATATTCTGTATGATGCCGCAACATTTTGGATGTTTCTTGGGCCACGACATGGGGAGTTGCCCAAAGCAGGGGACCACTACGTAGACCCCTACTGTGGATGGAGGAAATCTTGCACCACCTACATAATAGGCATCTTCTATGACTTGGCGATGCATCCCCGCACCCCCTTTTTAAGATTGACAGCTGTTCTGTCTGAGGCGGTGCAAGATTTCCGTCATTGGAACAAATT